TGGATGATGATCCAAAAATTAAAAATAATTTACCCAGGGCCACAGATCTACATAGGACTAGACCTGGCACTGAGAGATCAGGACAAATCTGTTGATCTTGCACCAAAGGGGCACAGCCTGTGGGCCAGAAGGCAAAGACTCACGTCCACAGGGATGCTGACCCCAAAAGGACCAAAATTTAGCCTTGGGAGGCCAGTCTTCTCCCCCAAGACCCACCCCAAGACTCCAAAGCTAACAGCCCTACCACAAAACCCCACACACCAGATGATCCAGAGAGGGGTCCTAACCCCCTGAGAGATTAAGGGCCAAATAGCCATTGACCTGGGCCTTCTTCCGGGTGGTAGGGAGACATCCTTCCTCTGAGAGGCTCAGGCTTCCTACTGGGGAGAGCGGAATTCCTCTGAGGAGGCAATGAAATGATGGAGGCTCAGAGGACACAAGTAGCCAGCAATCACCATCACACACTCACACACACAATAGGAGGCTCAGAGAGGACACAAGTAGCCAGCAATCACTCTCTCTCTCACACACACACACGATAGGAAGCTCAGAGCGGACACAATTAGCCAGAAATCACCATTACACACACACATGATAGGAGGCTCAGAGAGGACACAAGTAGCCAGCAATCACCATCTCCAAAACACACACACACACACGCGTGCGATAAACCTTGTCAAGCAGTCTCCCTCAGTCCTAAAGTAGATATGACCTCAGTCCAGGAAACACCCTCCAACCCAGAGCCAGCAATGGCTGTCTCATGGGGGAAGGGGTCCCAACCCAAAGGCCTCAGCAGACCTCACCAGAGTCCCCCATAAGCTTCCACTCCAGCAAAGGGAAGTGAGATGGGAGTTTCAGAGAATGGTAAGTTCCTGGTTCACCCCTAACTTGCAGCCCATGGATGGACTCCCGACACAGACTGGGGCAGCTGGGACACACCAACCAGAGATAGGGAGGCTGCAGGGCTGGCCTGAGCTTACAGATTCACGTCACAGAAAGAGGTCCAGCTAGTTAGCCTCTCCAAAAGTTAAAAAAAAGATCATTCTATCCTTTCGCTATGAAATCCCCCTCCTGGGAATTTACCCAAAGAAGGAAAAAGTTGAGAGAACAAAGGAGGTCACCAGTGTTGTTTATATAAAGAGACAGACACTGGAAGATTTAAGTGGCCAGTGAGAGCTGCATTGTGATGGTACTGTCCCTGCCAGACAGTTTGGAAGCTCTTAAATCCAGTAAGCCTGGATGGACAACAAGAAGTGCTTAGAGCCAATGTTCTCCTCACAGCTACAGAGATCACAGTCAAAAATACAAAAACTCTAGGGTGAGAAATCCTGGACAGATGAAGACTGTTTGTTCATCTATGAAATGTGGCTAATTTAGTGATGATGCCTCAGGAGTGTGAGGCTAAGATGTGATAACACAAGAACAGACAGGGCTTGCCTCATACCTCAGGCCAGACAAGTGCTTAAGAAACAGCAAATCTAAATGATACAGCTTTTATTAGCCCCAAGTAATTTATTACCAGTAAAAAAAAAAATCACTTATGACACCATCAAGTGTTGGTGAGGTTCAGGCAATAAGCACTCCCATCTATTGTTGGAGTGCAATCTGACAGCATCTATGAAAGCCTTAAATGCACGTACTCTGAGACCAGAAATTTCACTACAAGGACTTGGCCTCTGCAAGTCTTTGGCATATTACGTCAAGACATGTTCAAATCCCTCACGATTATACAGTGGAAGTGATGAATAGATTCAATGGATTAGATCTGGTAGACACACTGCCTGAAGAACTATGGATTGAGGTTCATAGCATTATACAGGAGGTGGTGACCAAAACCATCCCCAAGAAAAAGAAATGCAAGAAGGCAAAGTGGTTGTCTGAGGAGTCCTTACAAATAGCTGAGAAGAGAAGCAAAAAGCAAAGGAGAAAGGGAAAGATATACCCAACTGAATGCAGAGTTTCAGAGAACAGCAAGCAAAGATAAAGCCTTCTTAAGTGCAAAGAAATAGAGGAAATGCAAAGAAATAGAGGAAAACAATAGAATAAGAGAAAAACCAGAGATCTCAAGAAAACTGGAGATACCAAGGGAACATTTCATGCAAAGATAGGCACTATAAAGGACAGAAATAGTAGAAAAGATTATGGCGACAAGAATATACAGAACTATGCAGAGAAGGTCTTAATGACCTGGATAACCATGATGGTGTAGTCCCTCACCTAGAGACAGATATCCTGGAATGTGAAGTCAAGTGGTCCTTAGGAAGCATTACCACGAAAAAAGCTAATAGAGATGATGGCTGAATTCTGGCTGAGCTATTTCAAATCCTAAAAGATGCTGCTGCTGAAGTGCTGCACTCAATGTGCCAGCAAATTTAGAAAACTCAGCAGTGGCTACAGGACTGGAAAAGGTCAGCTTTCATTTCAATCCCAAAGAAAGGCAAAACCAAAGAATGTTGTTCAAACTATTGCACAATTGCACTCATGACAGTGCAGACTGTAATAATTACATACAAAGCTGGAACCAGGTGTCTACAAACCAGAGAAGGGTTACAGAAGTAGTTCCGGAACACAGTGGGATTCTTGGAACTGTTAAGACAAGGAAGAGCAGAGTGATAATGCTGGCAGCAATTTCTATGTTTACAGCATGACCAGTTTAATTTCCATATATGTATCATTAGGTAAAAGCTCAGAACTATTTTTCTAAATGTAGTATTGAAAAATTTTGTGGAGACACTGGGATTCAGTAGAGACTGGGAAGTAGATGTATTTTGAATTTTATACCTTTCTCTCTGAACTTTTAACCAAGTGTACATTTATGTAACACATAATACATTACAAACACGTGTTAACAGGGTTACCTGAATGGCAGAATTATAGGCCATTTATTTTCTGGATACATGTATTTTTTTAACCATTTTTAAGTAGTTTGTTATACAACCATCATCCATCTTGAGTTTTCTCAACATTCAAAACTCATACTCATTAAACTCCCCCATTCAGTCTTCCTCTATGCCCTGGTAAGCACCACTGTCTCAATTAATCTCTTTTAGGGATCTCAAACAAGGAGAATCTTTCTACTGTCCTTTAGCAGCCAGCTTATTTCACTTAGAATAATGTCCTTAAGGTTTATCCACGTTGTACCATGTGGCAGAACTTCCTTCCTTTCTGAGTAACAAAATATACTGTTTTGTTATTCTACTCATATGACAATGGACACTTGGGTCATTTTCATCCTGAAAAATGTTGCTATGAATGTGTGTATGCAATGTTTGAGACGTTGTATCAATTCTTTTGGGTATAGACCAAGAGAAATGGAATTGCTGGCTCATGTGGTAAATGTTTTCGAAATTTTTGAAAAACGGTCAGACTATTTTCCATAGCATCTGTATTACAGTCCTACCAGCAATGCATAAGGGTACGTGGTTATTTTTAAACTGTTTTCTTCTAATGGCTGCTAAGGAGACTGACATGATCTTCTGGCTTTTCTTGGTGTTGCTGGTACCGTGTAGTTTGTGAATTAAGTAACATGTTCTGTGATGGCAACTGATATCCTGCACACACCCAAGCCCCAAAGGTGTAGGCAGAGCAGGGCAGAACTTCTAGACAATAGAAGCCTGCCCTCTGTGGCCCATGACTGGTACCCCCTTCCACTACCCCAGGGCAGGGAGGCTCCTGGGGGAAATGGAAAACCTTAGTAAGGCACTTACCTCAGTAGGCCCTCCCAGTGCCAGGGATTCCTGGCAGGCCTGGTTGTGGCTGCTGTCCCCAGAGGCCGAGGTGAGGTTCTTGTTGAGTCAGGCTTCACCGCCTGTTGTCAGCAGAGATAATGCATTTCACTATGCGGCAGGCAGTGCCCACAGCTTCTGGGTCAGCAAGCAGGCCTAGGCATGGCTCCAGAGACCTGGTTATGGGAGGTGCCCCCACCCACAAGCCACTACACGGTGAGGCCCCCCAGGGGCCCTCTAAAGTCAGGCCTGCAGTTTCTGGGCCCTCTAACTCCCTTCTCCCAGGTTTCTCAGTATTTGGAGCAGGAACACCTGCATCAGAATAGTAAACTGGGATGAGATTGAAGATGCAGACTTTTCGGTCCAGGTCCCAGACTTGGATTAAGGTTTGGTGTCAAGCCCATAAATCTCAATCACTGAGACACATAATCAAGTTCCAGAATTACAGATTGAGGCAAAAGCTGGCCTCATTCTCTGAGGAAGAATTCAGAGCCAGCTATGTGGCAAGGAGGCTGTTAAGGAGAGCACCTGACACAATGCTATAGGGACCACATCTGCCAGATTCCTGGCACACAGCGTGCGATCAGAAGTGAAGAGTGATGGCCCAAACCCAGGGGCACGGAACACCCTTCCTTAGGACCCGCCTCCCTGCTCAGCAGAAGGACCTCCAGGAGAGAACAGCAAGGTTGCAGGGTGACTCCACCAATCCCCAGTTCCCCAGGAAAGAACTGGCACTCTAGAATCTCCATTACCCTGGTGAGAATGATGATGTTCGTAACAGGGACCATGCTGAACTCCTCACAGGATTATTCAGTCCTCAGTCCAGGGGTGGATGAGGGAGCCCAGAGTGTGCAGGCTAATCACCTGGCCCCTGACCAGCCATAGCACTGACAGTGAGTTGAAATGAGGTAAGACTAAGAACCCAGTCCAGCCTGCTCCAAACACATGCTTCAAACAATCTGGAAGGAGTCAGGAGGAACAACACGCATCAGGTTAAAACACCCCTGTTGGCTGTGTGGAGATCCCAACAGCAGAAGACTGCAGGTACATGGAAGGCCATCCCTTGGCAGGCTGCTTGATCTCCTGCAGGTGGCTCAGTGAGACAGTCAGAGCTGAGCTGCCTGATCCTGCCCCTGCTTCCTGGGGCTCCTCACTCTTGTAAGGTTTTTTGTTTAGGAAAGCAAGTAACAGTGGCAGGGAGAGCTTCATGCCAAGTGAAACTCTTCCAATTCTCTGAAGTGGACCAAGGGTGTTTTCAATCCTATGTCAGATGCTCTAAAAATACAGTATTGTTACCCCAACACTGTCGTGATGGACATGCTGGAGCTGTAGGCATGAAGGGCCTGAGGAATCCAGTGCAGGGTACTGCTGGGGCGGACAGGCCAGACTAATCCAGGGGCTCCCAGCAGAGATGAAAAGGGAGGAACTTCGTGATGCTGCTGACTGAAGGCAATGTACAGGCCTGGGTTCCAAGGCACATTCTGATCCTGAGAGAATCTCAGGGTTCGCGGTGATGAGCCTGACATGCAGAAACAAGATCAGGAGGGTAGGGCTGGGCTTCCTCCCCAGAAGAGAGGTTTCATCTCTTCTCTCAAAGCACTGACTGATCATGGCTGCTCATGGCAAGCTGAGGAAGGACATGAGCCTGCAGTTTCTTTTCTGGGCCGCTCATTCACCTAGTCTGACTCCAACTGCCTGCTGGGCTCTTTAAAAACTTCTCTGTCAAATGATGCTACTCAAGCTTTGGTTCTCATACTGAAAGATACTTAAACAGTAACTTTTTGCCCACTTTAAATTGCAGTTACCAAATGTTCTAGGCTCCTAAACTATTGTACCCTCGACGTGAACAATAGTTCTGTTTAAGACAGAACTTCCCATTTATGTCAAATTCATACTTTGTACTACCTTTGACTAATTTTGCTTTAATGAGAATTTGAGATTAGCTGCACCACCCCTCACTACCTTGACCTCTAAAAGCATCATTTTAAAAGGAGGAGAGGGTGAGTAAAGTCTCCCAGCACAGGAGCCCAGGAATGAGACCCCTGCTGATCCCACAAAAGAATGTTGAAACCAGACATCAACCTCAGCACCCCTAACAGAGACTGGCAAAATCAATCTAAAATCCGGCCAGACTCTTCCCAGGAAGTTACCAATGGAAAATGCAAAGATGAACCAGCTCAGTATACCTGAGGTTCCCAATCCTTCTGGCTCCCAACACTCTGGGAAGAAAGGGAATCTATTTATGGCAAATAATTCTACGGCTGAATCAATGCACTGTAAAGGAGAGACCAAAAAAAAGAATCTATAAAGGGCTTCCATTCTGATCAACCCAACACCATTACTGTACAAAAAACAGTTTTATTAATTACCCCAACTGCGCTTCTGTTCATGCTCTCGGTCACACTTGTTTCTCAGACTCAGCCCAGGCTCACAGGCAAGTTACCAGGTTAGCAAATCGGAAACTGTTCTGCAAAACAGCAACTGTCAGCTTAAGGCATTACTAACATTGCAGAAGGAAGCAAGGTTACTAGGGAAGTTTGGACTACTCAGGATGATGATTTCTGGGACAGGAAACCCTCCCTGAAAGGGCCAGCCCATGCTGCCGCCGGGAGATGACTCTTGCTCTGGATGACAGGTCGCCCCTTTAAACCCATCCACAGTATCACAGACAAAACACTGTCTAGTCCTCGAGCTTTCAGATTTTGAAACAAAAAGCACTCTGTCCCAGAAGCCCCGACACGTCCACGGGCCTCTCAGAGCACTCACTTGGTCCTCCCTGGCAGGAGCAGGGGAGGATGGAGGGCTGGTCAGGCTCAGTTTTTAAAAATGAAGTCACTACTAGAAATATGGAGTAAGGGGCAGGGACCCCTGCTGCAATCACATGCTGAATCATTGTCCTCCCAGAGAGCGGGCTCCTACAGGTTCCTTCAGTCCACGGAAGTGCTCAGAGCAGGGCAGGCCAGTGTGGCCTCGGAGCTGCTGCCTGCCTCACTGCATGCCGAACCACTGCTCCTGGTCAGCCCACTGGGCCGCCTCACTGTCGCTGCCCTCCAGGTCCCCTTCTTCCCCACTCCCTTCCATGTCGTCCACATCCTCCTCCTGAGTGGCATCCGTGGGACTCTCCTCCTTCTCCATCTTCTGCATCCCCTCTAGAGACTTCTGGTCATTGGGGTCCAAACTAGGGGACAACAAAACAGAGGAGAGGCCTGAATCTCTGCCTTGCTTCTTGCTGGCTGATGTGTCATCTCCCTGGTATGGCAGTGAAATGACCACCCAGTCACAGAGAATCTGCTAATGCCTGGCCTCTCCAAACAACTCCAGTTCCATAGGCAGGATTGAGGGAGTCCACCACTAGAAGTGAAAAAGGCGTCTTGTCCTAAGTTTTAGAATTCTCAATTTGAATTTTCTCCATATAGTTCTTTTTTTTTTTTCATATAGTTCTTAAATTGTTTCACACCTATAACCCCTAGCATTCTGCCAGAGGAAGATACTAGATAAATGAAAAAGCAGCAAGCAATCATTAACAGAAAAATTCAAATATAATTTAACAGTATGGGATTTCTAAGTTACAAGGTTACAAAAAATACTTATTTTTCTGTGCGTTAAAATTGTTTCATGTTCTTACAATTAAACATATCAGCATTTCAGAAGGCAACCAAAACCATCATGCTTACCATGAACCAGATTTGTCAACTCCTAGGTTAGACCCCAGGACCCAAAGTTACCCCTACCTGGGCATTTGTAGGAGCTAACAGTACCGCATATGTCCAAACCCTCAAAGTTCAGAGGGTCCAGAACATATATTTACTTGGTTCCTAAGCAATCTTTCCTCTTGCCTTTGTGACCATCACTGAGGCCAGCTGATGTCCAATCTCTAGCAAATCCCACCTCTATATTTTAGTTTCTCATTTATTTGCTTCTGGGCTTTCAAAAAGCAGATGAAATCCACGTTGGAATCCTGTTCCTACTTATGTAACTGTAGATGATCTGTATCATCTCTTCTCTGAAACCTTCCATACAGCTCTCACCCACACCCATGGATTCCCACCCTCTGCACTCCCACCTTGCCTTCTAGAGATTGCTTTGAAAGCACTCAGCACATGGTATCTATTAGCCTGAACATCTGAGATTGTGAGCTCCCGGAATCATAGCATCCCCAGTGGTTACTGAGATGCCAAGCACATGAGTGGTGCTCAACTGCTGAACAAGTAAACGGATATGATCAGACTCCATTAAAGACAAGCCTTCACCATAACTTTATAGACACACAGACAATCCTCAAAGAAATCACTTCTGTATTAAGCAGTAAGAATACCACTATTTATTTAGTATTTACTATGTACCAGGCACAGTGCTAAGAGCTTTACATGAAATAATCATTTAATCCTCATTTAATCATTTAATACCTAATAAGGTAGATAGATATATAGACAAGGAAATTTGTTAGCAACTTCCCAAGATAACAGGTGGTAAAGGTAGTATTCTTCAGAGCTTAAGTTCTTAACTACTACAGTGGATAGAAACATGGGAAAGTACTTACAATACGCTGATTTGAAAAAGCAGAATATAAAATATATACTACGTATAACCCTATAAAAATATGTATATGTGTTGGCAAGGCCAGGAAGATGATCTACACAAATGAAAACAGATGTTATATGTGGCTGGTTATGAGTGAAACAGTTCTTTAATGTTGTTACTATCACTTAAGACTTTAGAAGTCATAAATTAACAAACACTATCATTACTATTATTACTGTGTTTTCAACCGTGGGCACAGAGTGTGTGTGTTTCCAAAACTCTTGTTACACTGATCCCTGCCTCCTCTACCCCTCATGACCTTCCCCCCATGGGAGGCTAAGTGCCTACCTTAGTGCTATACTATACTGGTCCATTGCTTCCTGATACTCATTGACAGCTACAAGGAAATCTCCTAGGATCCGATGCAGGACACAGTCACTCTGATTAGCTAGTGCATTCCTCAACAAAGCAATTCCATCTTCATATTTCTGTTCTCTGCCTGAAAAGAAAAAGACCCTCATTTTCCTACTTACACATTCAAAATATATTCCCATTTGCAAGTCATATACATATAACTACAAAAATGATCACAATCCAAATATCTATTTATAGATGTCAAGAGAACACTGGTGTGGCAGGAAATAAGAACAAGCTCATTTGAATCCCTATTCCATTAGGAAGTCAGCAGTTTGAGTTGATTTTTAAAAACTTATACCTTCCCAACGGTTCAAAGGAATCAGTTCCTCAGGCCATCCCTAAATGAATGTGTGAGCAACTGTTAAAATAATTTTACGAAAGTCGTCTGTTTGAAGTTTATGTCTACTCTAGATTGAAATTTGGTAATCTTTGTTGTTCAGAAAATTATTCATGTAGCCTATCATGTCAAATTTATAGGTATGAAATTGTTCAGTATCTTTACATAATTCTGTTTTATACAGGTTTTCTAGTTTTATTCATAATACACTGATTTTTTATTGGCTTCACAGGGTTCATGTATTTCCATATAGAAAAATAATACTTTCCTTTTCCAAAACCCAGCATTTAGTTGTACCAATGAAGCATAGTATGTACTTTCCAATTGGCACTTTTAGGTTAAATAAAAAAATAAATAAATAAAAATAAAAACTTATACTTAACTAAAGTTCATATAAAAAGCCAAAATGGACTTTATTTGCCAAACTAGCTCAAACTCAGTTCCTCACAAATCAGGATTTAAAAAAACCAAGGCTGAAAGGGAAGTAACAGGAGAATCATGATGGGTTAAAACCAGTTGTACTCGGCCCAAATTAGTTCAGGACAAAGGGAGCTGAATAGGTACTAACCAAGTATAGCTGGCCTGAGCCACTCCAGAAGTAATTCACTGCCAATCCAAGAAGGTCTAAGCCAATTAAGTTTGGTTGTGCTAAGTATAAACCAATTCAAATAGGCTCAGACCGACTGCAAAAGCACACACCTGTTTGGTCATCTGTAACCAACTGGGACTAGAGAATCCAACTGGACTCAGGTTTTACACAATTAACTAGGAACACGGAAGTAAACAAGATACTTACTAAGCAGTTCTGCTTTTTTCACCACAGCCTTAATGTAATCCGGCCTTTGCGTCAGGGCTTTATCTAATAAGGTTTTGGCTTTCTCCTGTGTCACCGGGTCTTCAAGACAAACAGTGGCTAAAAGGGTAAGGGTCTGTGCATTTGCTCCTAGAGTTTTGTAAACATTGTTAGCCATTACCATTGCTTCACGAATACTGTTGGAGGCTAAGTAACATTCGATGAGACCTGAAAAAATATAACACAGAAAGTTCAACCACATTACCATTCCAAGCCATGCTTCCATTCTGACAGCCTTCCAAACTGCAAACCTTCAGTTTCTAACAAAAGGCAGGTCAGGGGAAGACTCTGATGGTGAGATCAGACTGAAGGGCATGTTAATGAAACAGCTAAGAGGTGCTCTTCCCAAGAGCACTTGATAAATGTAGAAAAAACCTGTAGTGCAAACACACCTTTAGTGAAGGAAACAAATATGCATAAGTAAACCAAAGCATGTAGCCAGCTCAGCTGACTGTTAGAGGAACAAATGTGACACTACTCATTAATTGATACTGTGAAAAGATGAGGTTTCCAACAAAACCCAAGGTCTTGCTGCCTTTTAACAAGCTGTTAATTTCCAGCACTGCTCAGGTCACCTTTAGTCCTAAATTTAAGGGGGAGAGTTCCTATTGTTCACCTCTAAAAACTGAAGAAACTAGGGGGCAACCTAGGGTCTCCCTAAACTGGATGAAAAGGGCTTATCACAGAAATCAAACACACTGAGACTGGTGGCTCCGTCTTTACACCCACAGCAAGAGGCTGATGCTCCATGGGGACATTTCAACAGTCAACTCTCAAATCTTCATGCCAAAAAATCGAAGAGAACAGAGGAAGTACTCTTTGGTACAAAGCACTCATCAAAACAGAAAAACAGCTTAAACTCCAAACCCACACACTCCCTGGCAGATTTTCTCTGTATACACTCCTCCACCCTAGTGGCATTTATAACATTTGTGCACATTCTACCACACACTACAGTTACTTAACTAGAAATTACCTAACTCTTAAGGGCAACATGGTGGGCTATGGAATATGGTTGGTTGTAACTAGTTGAATAGTTTTACTTTCCTGCTAAAGCCCCATAGGAAATTCAAAGGGAAATGTTAACACACTTCACCCTTAATCCAGGGCCCCCATCAGTAAAGAGAGCTCAGTTAAAGGCTGCAAGATGCATCAGACGGCATTACCTAGTCACCCTGATCCAAATCTCCAAATGCGAGCTTGAGTGAAGTCATCTCATAAAGCTTCACAGGCCAACTGGGGAAAAACTTGAACTATCCTGTGTTCAGCCACTCACTTGGGTAATGGGAGATACTCGACTGCATTCCTGGGCTCTTGTGAGACAGGCGAACAGCAGAAGGGAGTTAGTGTGATAAAAGCAATTGGAGGATAGGGAAACTACAGTTTTAGGATCAAGAGTTTAACCAGGAACCAAAAGCTTGGCTTACTGCAGTTTCTTTAAGAACAAATCCACAAGCAGCATAGATCTCTAGGTATCTAAGCAGATTTGTTTTTCACTCCAACTTCCAATTTTTTTCTTTCTTTTTTTAATCTTTCTTTCTTTTTTTAATCTTTTGGCCATGCTTCAAGGCATGGGGAATCCTAGTTCCCTGACGAGGGATAGAACCCAGGTCCCTGCACTGGCAGGGCAGAGTCTTAACCACTAGACCACTAGGGAAGTCCCCAAATTGTAATTTTTATTTCTCAAATTTGAACTCATCTTTCTGTAACAGCAAATCACTCCTAGACTCCTGGGTTTATTTTTAAATTCTTATAAAAATATGCTTTGGAGGAACTGCATCTTGTAAGATCTATTTTAATGTCTGTGACTGAGTCACCAAATGCTGCTGAAGCTGGCACAGCTTTGAACTCCTAGGGTCAGTTCACACGAACCTAAATTAGTACATTAACAAAACAAAGCTTGACCCTGATGAGGCCTACTCTGGAGGTCACAATGAACTGACCAGTTCCCACAACCAACACTGACATATGGATGTAGAGTTGTCCTGTGAGTAGTATTTCTGGCCCAAGGTAAGACAACTGCAAAAAAATAAAGACATACCAACCAATCCAGCACAGTGCTGGCACAGAGATTCACATTAACAAGTGAGCCACATCTGAGAAACAAAACAACAAAAAAAACCACCAAAACTATACCCTCACCAAAAATCAGAAACAAAAAAATAAGAAAATGAATTACAAAAGTATGGAGTGAAAAGTCCAGCCCTAAATAGATGTGTAATGCCTAATGAAGTGGTTCCCAAATGTCTGCATGTTGGCATTACCTGTGATCATAAAAAAGTACTGACGCTTCTAGCCCAAGAGCAAATATTCTGACTTAAACAGTACTGAAATGACCTAGCATCAGGTTTTTTACCCCCAGAGGACTCCAATCTGCAACAGAGTTTGGAAATTGCTGACCCAACAAAACCTTCCATCTGAGTGCCACATCTACAGATCCACACCATCTATAATTATCTTACCTTCATAACAATCTAAGCGACAAGGTGCAAGACGTATAGCCTCCCGAAAATGGATTATTGCTTCCTGGACTCTGCCCATGTTTCTAAGTGCTGCTCCCTTAAGTAGCAAAGCTTGAACACTGTTACTGTTCAGCTGAATGGCCTTGGCTCCTAAATAGAGGGCTCGAGAATAGCGTTTGCTATAGAAGCTGTGACACCTGGAAGAAAACAATCAAAGTTATCTCAAAGAAGGCCATAAATAAATTTCATTCAAAAGGAAAAATCAAAGAGACGGCCTTCTACATGATCCTTACTACAAACCCCTTACAACTTTAGCATGAGATATTAGTGGAAAAAAAAAAAAACAGAACAAAAATCTACTGAATATTTATTTTTAAGGGTGAAATCTTGATATGGAAGGGAAAATTACAAAAAAAAAAAATCTGATGATCTGGATGTATTATCAGATCAGAGACATTCAGAGAATTTGTTAAGCAAGGTCAGTAACAAAGCAGCACAGCTCCTGGCCTGCTCACTGACGGCTTCCTGTGAGCAGGTCCAGAAGTAAGCATGATGTATTCACTCAATAAACACTTACCCCACAAAGCAGGGGTAGTATCCTCATTTTCCAAATGAGAAAACAGACCAAGAGAAATGATGCATCCAGAGTCACAGACAGACCATGACTTGAATTCAAATCTGATTATTCTTTAAACCAGTGCTTTCAAATCTATATTCTATTTAGGTGAAACCACAATTTCCTAAACAATCTACTAAAATTGGGGAGAAAAGGGAATGTATAAACATACCCAGAGACCACCCAGGGTTCTGCATGTTGGTCAGAAATATTAAAAAGGCGGCAGCCAAGGTTCTCCACATCCTCCAGCCGCCCTTCTCGTGCCAGGAGGTAGCCATACACATCCATTCCTACAGAGGAAGATGCTCATTAAAGCAGCAGGGGTCTTTTCTAACGGAGCTACAACCTTCATCAGAGCCCACACAAGGGCTTCTCAGGGTCTGAGCCCTCTCCGATATCATAAGCTCCTCCCACCAGCATTCCCATTTTCCTACAGAATGACTATTAAAAAGACAAAACACATACAAAAGTAAAAATAAATAAATAAAAATAAAAAGCAAAGGAGTAGAAGGACCTACCTCACAATTTGAAAGCCTGTAATTTTCAGGAACTACTTGTCCCTACATCCTGTGGCGTGATAATACAGCCATAGTTATCCTAACACATAACCAGAAAAGGCCCAAAAAAGCATCAAATTAAGTTCTCTCTTCCAAGAAGTCTAGACACAATCAGGAGTGTACACTTAATATGCCAGTTAGTCTCAGAAAAAAGCTAGTCTATTCTAGAAAAAGCCATCCAGTTCTTTCTGGAGCCTATTTCATTTAAGATCATCCCCCTGCCCTCCCCCCACCCTACCCCTCTTTATTCTCATTTATGTTCTATTTAAAAAAAAAAAAAAGACCTTAGCTCACTGTCACCCATCTCTTACCACCATTCCCCTCCATTCCTTACTATTCCTTCAGATTCTCAAGAAAATGTCTCTTAAACCAAATTACTGCAACATTCCCTGCTGGCCCCTGGACTCGGGTCTGAGCTTCCAATCTTAAGTAGCTAACTACTGTCAGGCTAGTACTTCTAAAATGCCATTTTCACCATGGGCACAGGCAGTTTGGTAAAGAGGAGTAACACTGGGCAATAACACTGAGCAAACAAATTCATCTTTCTGAATCTGTTTCCCTATCTACATGCTTGGGAAGGTCCCCTCCCCGCTCTGTCATTCTTGTGGCTTAAGAGTCTACAGCACTGTTTATTGTCACAAGGCCGTATTTTTCTGATGACCATTTTTGGGCCTTTGCAAGCAGACTTCTGCGTATTTATGCAACGTTATTTCCCATCACTATTCCTGCACACATTTCCTTCACTCACTGCCAGTCACCAGACAGCCATCCTTTGGATGTACAGATCTGCTAAGCTTCCCAGTAGGTCCACACTATCTCTGTGAACCTGTGGCTTACCTCTTTAGCAGCAGCCTTCTTTTACATCAATGACTTTTTTTAAAATTGTTGTTCACTTCTAATTACTTCTTTTAATCATCTTATGACTTTCTTAATATCTGTTCACTTACTCCTTTTTAAACTAAATTTAAGGACATAGTGAACCTAAATTCCCTAAAAGGAAATTATGATTCTGGGGATGCCATCCAAATTCTGTCAGACACATCATAAATTTATAAACCATAAGAAAGGGCTATGATCCCTCCCCAAAGAAAAAAAGTCAAGTAATGGTCTGTGGGGATATGACACCTGAATCCAAGCAAAAACAACTGCTTAAAATGGAATTACCCAAGTGTTAAAAGATACTGTCAGGACCTTAAAAAAAAGGCTACTCGAATACATTTTATGAAAAGCTGTTATCAGAAGACCATGCTACATCTTCTCCCTATCTTCTGATTTGACCCTGTACAGTCACCTCCATCCTGTCCCAAGAATTACTTACCTTTTATCAGATACGGATCCAACATCTGTGCCTGTTCAAACTTGAGGACAGAGTTTTTATTGTCTCCAGCTCTGAAGTACAGATCTGCTAAGCTTCCCAGTAGGTCCACATTATCTCTCAACAAGGACTTTTTCTCTAGTGAACTTTAAAATATTAAACATATATATATCTTAAAGTCTCTTAGTTGTTGAATCTGGGTGATGGGCAAATCTTACATAATTTTATGTAAGATTTTTCATAATGAAAGACTTCAAAAACAAACCATGTAACTAATTTTCTTAATTCTGAGCTTGTAACTTAAAGTTATACAAGATAGGATAGTAAATACACAGAATAAAGCAGAAATCTCTCTCATTACCTAGAAAGAACTTTCTGGTTGCAGTTTTTCAGAAGATAATATACACTGTAGAGTGTTAAATATAATATCAAAGTAATAGCTATTTATTACTCAACCAAATGACTCGGCCTAATACAAGTCCCACTCTGATGACCTTGGACTTTATCTAACTAGAAAGAAAAACCCCAGTACTGAGGCAACCCAGGTCAGATGGTGCAAAAACTAAGCTTCTGGGGCATCCAAAAAGATGTTCTTTCAGGTTCAAGTATGACACACAAGAGTTAAACTTGGTCCAAGTTTACATTTAACAAAAATTATTACATCTGGGGCCACTGAGTACATTAAGAGATTAACAAAACCCAGGGACAACAGGCTTTAACAACAAGAGATAAGCATCTCATTTCTCCATGTTGCTAATTTAGATCCATCAGCTTCCATATAAGGGTCCCAAGAATATTAAACTAACTTTGTGGTTCTCACCAAATGGTATTGATTGCTCTCGCATTGTCACCAACATGCACAAAAGCATAGGCTTTGATCCATACAGAAAGCCAATCCAAGTTAGGCACAGTCTGGATCACATTCATTGTCATTGATGCCACCTCTGCACCTTTTACAGAAAGAGACAGCAAACCTAATCCAACAGAAAGTAGGAGAAAGGTGAGCCATAGCATCCTTCTACAATGCAAGAAGCTACACTTTTCCTAGGCTAAAGCAACCCTATCCCTATTTTAAGATGCATATGACAGAACAACTCCAATATTTTTTCAGCAGTGAAAGAATACACAGCAGTAGTAACCTAAATTATTCTAATGTACAGCCAAGATTAAGAACCACTATCTTAGAGAGTAAACACTCCATGAAAATAGGGGAAGAATGACCTGTACCTAGAATCGCATCAAGGGCTAATGGACACTGCCTCAGAACTTCCTTATAGCTGGTGACTGAAGGTCGCTCCTGACCAGCCTTCTTGTACAGGTTTGCCAACATCATGTTTATCTGCAGTAAAAACAAAAGATAATAAGGTAAGTATTTAAAAATAAAATCTTACCATCAATAAGTTCTGATTTTCATTATTAGCTATTCTACTTTTTACTGACAAATCTACCCAAGGCCCTGTGGAAACAAAGTGCAACCCCACTCTTCAAACAGAGAGGAAATTACTACCTTTGCTTTTCTATGTCCTCCCAGTACCTCCCAAATTCCTCACACTTACCCAACCAAAAGGCCCAATAATATCTGGACCAAAGATGCTGCCTCTGGAAGTGGAAGTAACATTCATTTGAGAAATGTTACAGAATTCTTGATTTTTAAAACAGAAGATGAACTATGTTAAAAATGTTTGTTTACATATTTTATTTTTTAAGCTTAATATCACAGTATAAGAAAGTAAGGAAGTCTTACAAAGCTAGCTAAAAAAGATCAGATGAATTTTCCCCAAAAAGAAAATGATGGACACAGAAGTAAAACCTCTGACTCCTCTCTGACAATCAGTCTAGCAGCTAGACTCTAGCTTTTCTAATGCTTAAAGCTTTGACTCACAGGTATTGTCTGACTCAAAAAAACATTACAAAAATCAAACTCTAACTGATCTCCAGAGGTGACAATGATCCAGAGATTAGCTTTATTATTTAAATCTAGTGAATGCATTTTTAGCACAACTCAAATATGTAACTCAGTCTGGGCAGGGGGTGCAGGACAACTTCCTAAAAATGCAACAGGGAAAATTTGAGAAAACCTAAAAGTTCCAAAGAATACAGAAGTTACAGAGAAGAAATAAATGATATTAATAGTACAAAAAGTACACAATATTCCAATTTAAAATTAATAGATCTTAAATGGAACACAATATTTGCCAGATCATTAACCTAAGAAAGCAGTCAAGGGCACAAAAGAAAAAAAGCCAATCCCCAATCTCTTCAATTATCTGTAGCTTGGTATGCCAGATATTTACTCAAAAAATTACTCTGAAGATGAAAAACATCTGTTCCAATTATGAACTCACAGTATATAAAACAATCTAGTATGGCATTAATCCATACTGATTCAATGAAATAATGAAATACTAGAAATTAAACTATTTTTTATTTGGCCTCAGATTTTCCATTTTAGGCTATGTTGAAATGCAAAAAAAAAAGGTACTTAAAGGAAAACTCCAGTATTGGTGTCAATACTTGAAAAAAATAAAATTAAATTTAAAATCCTTTCTTGACTGCTTGTTATTAACAAACTATGACTGACGGGCCTTCTATCTCAACAAATATTAAAAATTCCCTTTAAACTACCTGACACTTTGAGTTTTAAGAACTACCTAGTTAGAAAGTCAATTCTTTTTAAAAACAGAGCCTTACTTGGGGACATCATTAAAGTTGCATTCCACCAGTTATAAATATAAGCAGTCATCATTTTCTAAAAACTGAGTGACAAATTGTTTCTTGGTATGTTTCTCTTAAAAGCTGAAGAGTTTCCAAGACATAATAATCTCACACTGGAATTTTCCTTTAAAATGTGAAGGAATGTGTGGCGGTGTTTACCATACATTAACAGACGTTCATTTAGACGTATTTTGACTCACTTCCTTGTCCTTTACACAGACTGAGAAGCCAGTTAACTCCCTAACGGACAAGAAAGAAAAACTGTAAATATTATAGGTTTATGTTTGAGGCACACATCTTTGTTTGCTCCTGGCTACAACAGCTCTATGAAGGCTATGTACTCCTAACGTATGTGGACTCCTCTAGTTCTTCCTAAAATGACAACCGTAAACACCAAAGTGTTGGATACCACAAGGCTCACTTTCTTGGCCATTACTCATTTTTAAAAAATGCCCCCAAACTCCCTCAAGTCATTAAGAAGAAATTATGGAACGTTTCCAATAAGATAAGGAATAGGTATCCTTCAAAGCTTACAATCAAAGCAGCATTTTCCAAAGACACTCTTCATATATACAAAAAAATTATCCTTAGGGTAAGACTTTCATAGCATATCAGAATATAATTAAGTATACAGTGCCCAGATTATTGTGAGGCAGGTTAGTCTATAATATACTTACAAATGTTTTAAATAACAATTATCACCATAAAATATGAAGAAATAGCTTAATTTTTAAAATTCAGAAAATATTAAATAAATCTTCAACATGAGGAGATGCTTAAACATGTTCTCATCAAGTGTGATTGATTACTTTTAAAACTCAGTAACACTTGAGTGAAAAAACACTAAATACACCTGGTCCCTACTGCTTATAATTCCTTTTCTTTTAATGGCAGAAAGATGTGCATTATACCTATAAAAATTCCTATTGTTAACTACACTGCACAGTTTTTCAGTGAAGAGAGGAAGGTAGGTGACATGAAAGTATGTGTTAGAATATTAAATAATGATGTGAATTCACTCCTAACAGCTAAGATTTTCATTGTTTTTCTAAACTGGACTTCAAAGAAAACCTGTAATCAGATGCCTAATATAATAGTCCTTATAAAATAATACTTTAAAAAATATTCTCACATACATGAACTTAGTTTATACCAGGGAAAGTATTATTATCCTCAATAAGGAAAAAAGTAAAGCCAGATTTTTAACTTGCCCAAGTTCACACTACATGCTGCTTGTATGCCCTAAATGCAAAGACAAGAAACTAGATCTTCTGATTTCAGTTGAAGGTGTTCTATATACTATTATTGCCAGATAAAACACAAATACTATCCTACACACAAATATGTACAAAGAATCTTGAAGTCTTAATTCTGAAAATAAAAGGAATACACATTATCAAATGGGTATACCTACAGAATGCAAAAAATGAGATTCTTAAAAAGTATTGTTGCTACCTCGAAGTATATTGCAAATCATGTTTCCTACAATAAGAAAAACAAAATAACTAAACACATGTAGTACTCTCCAGCTACCATTTTCCTCAGTAGAATTTTCAGGGTCTTATAAGAAAAGTCACTCCTCTCTCTAAACAGGGAGATCAGGGGAACAAAGTGGGAATCAGAGACAAGGTTTGTAAAATGTTCAGACGTAGTCCCTGAAAACACAGAGGAAGACAGCTGGAAGGACTGGGGAAGAGAAAAATATGTAACCAAATTGTTAATTCAACTTACTTTGGGAGTTCTTTGTCTTGAAGGGATCCCATCAAGTATAGCAATGGCATCTTTATCTTGTTTTAGCATTGTATAACATTCAGCCATTTTGTATTTTACTTCAATTTCAGATGGAAGACACTTAAGAGGAAATGAAAACATCTCTTCAATATTACTTGAGCAGTATGGCAGTTCTTCAAAATGCTAAACATGATTACCATATGACCCAGTAATTCTGCTTCTGTGTATATAGCCAAGAAAACTGAAAACATGTCCACACAAAAACCTGCACACAAATGTTCATAGCATCATTAATGAGAAAAAGCAGAAACAACACAAATGCCCACCAACTAATGAATAGTTAAAATATGGCACAGCCACACAATGGAATATTATTCTGCAACAAAAAGGAATAAACAATTGCTTCTTTATTATGTGCATTAATATTGATCAACCTTGAAAACATACTAAGTAACAGCAGCCAGCCACAAAAGGCCACATATTGCATCATTCCATTCATATGAAAGGTCCATAATAGGTGAACCCACAGAGGCAGAAAGGTCAGTGATTTCCAGGGGCTAGAGAGATAAAGAACACAAGGCTTTTCTAGAGGGATGAAAATGTTCTGGAATTAGACAGTGGTGGTAGTTGCACAATTCTGTGAAAATATTAAAACCCGTGAACTGTGAATATTATGTTGTAAACTGTATCTCAATTTTTAAAAAAACTCCTTCAAGATTAAGTAAGGTTTAACATAGTGCTTAGCATACAGAATGCCCCCCAAAATTACTTCTATGAATTATTCTATGTGGATAATACACATGACTTTCATTCAGGGTCAGAAAACAATTCCTGGCAATCAGCTCTTTAGTAACAAAAAACAAAGGCTCTACATAAAGAGAAATAAAACAAGATAAAAATGTATAGGTGCTTAAAAAAAAAAGCAATTATATTACTTTGTCTTTTTTTAATGTGGGAAAATACAGAACATGATTCATAATTTCACTTCAGTTCATTCTACTGACATTCCTTTCAAATGTAAATTGCATGTATAATTTAAGACAGGTTCAAAAAATAAATAAATAAAGACAGGTTCAAACTGAAAGTCAAGGATCCCCCCCCCCCTCTAAAGTTTTGTTAATTTTCTTCACACACACATGCTAAATTTTCCATGTATATTATCCACATATATTTTAGGCATATACCAGGATATATATCTATAAACTATCCCCTTTAGGTAATTCTCTGGCAGTCCAGTGGTTAGGACTCCACACTTTCACTGCCAAGAGGGCCAGGGTGGGTTCAGGTTCAATCCCTGGTTAGGGAACCAAGATCCCACAAGCAGCACAGTGTGGCCAAAAAATTAAAATAACTACCTTTAAACAGAAAGAGTAGTGAACACACTGCTTAAAAGCTTATTTACTAATATATACAGTCCTTTCCAAATCAGCGCATACACCACTATATTTCACTTCCTCAATATTCCCACTCGTATCCCATCCTAGGGCAACACTATAACTAGACCCTACTGATAAACACTTTTGCTTGTAGTTTCTTACCATTATAAACAGTGCTATAGTAAGCAGCCTTACTTATATACCCTTGTAAACTTTTATGAATCAACTATTGCAGTAAATATCTAGCAATGGTATTACTGTCAAGTGGTAAAATTAGTTTTTTACCCTTCATTTATTTAATCATCAAGCAACCAAAACTAGTAAGAACGCGTAAGATTATTTCATATGAATTTCCCCAGGTATTCACAACCCTAAGATCTGACTGACATTTTCAAAGTGTACTTTCATTAAATTAAAAAAAAAAAACAAACACTTTAGATTTTTACATTGTTTGTATAAAAGGGGGGAATAATGCATGACTTTGGTTAGAGCCCAGATAATTCTATTTTTCAATTCATCCAGAATGAACTTTGTTTTTAGCCCTTTGTGCTTGGTTGGATGAATTCTTGTACCTAAGTGGCTTTTAACCTTTGTTTCTCCAGTCAGCTCCCCTTTAAAATTTTTTTAATTTATTTTTGGCTGTGCTGAATCTTCATTGCTGTGAGGGCTTTTCTCTAGTTGCAGTGAGTGGGGGGCTGGTCTCTAGTTGCAGTGCACAGGCTTCTTATTGTGGTGGCTTATCTTGTCAACCACAGGCTCTAGAGCATGTGGGCTAAGTGAGTTGCCGTTCCCGGGGGGCAAGAGCACAGGCTCTATAGTTATGGTGTGTGGACTTAGTTGCTCCGAGGTATGTGGGATCTTTCCAGATCAGGGATCGAACCCATTTCTCCTGCACTGACAGGCAGATTCTTGACCACTAAGCCAACAGGGAAGTCCTTAAAATTACTTTTTCTTAAAATTATTTTTTATTTTACATCTTCTACATCTAATCAGCAGTCTTTTAAATTCCTTCCACCTCTCCTGCTCTCAATACAAACAAACCAAAAACATATCACACATCTATCTCCAATTACCTGACTCTGTGGAGTGGATGCAGAATTTCCAGTTGAAGGTCTCACTTTTGAAGTTTTACTTAGGGCTTTCTTCTGCTGTAAAGCCATAGTATACTTACTCACAGCATTCCGATACTCCTTATCATGAAAGAGAGAATCTGCATGATACACCAAAAGCTGGTACTTCTGAGATGGGGAGAATAACTCACTAGAAAAACAAAGAAAGTATACCCCCTACATGGGTTATTTTGAAATGTCAGAAAGAACACCCTCCTTAGTGTCTACATAAGCCAAAAAACAAAGGCAATGTACTTTAATTGCTAGTCCCTAAAAAAAAGAGGCAAGACTCATACTCCATGTTAATATGGTCAGCATATGTAGGAAACTGCCTTAAATTGTTGTTTTCCTCTACTTACTATGAAAACAATGATACCTCTAAATCAAATTCAGCAATACAGAGATATACAAAGAGAAATATTAACACAGCTGACCCTTGAACAAACAAGGCTTGAATTACAGGGTCCACCAATGTGTAGATTTCTTTTTTCAATAGCACACACTACAGTACTATATACCATCTGGGTTGAATCCGTGTATGTGGAACTGCAAACTCAAAGGAAATGCATACATAAACAGTCAAATATAAGTTATATATCGATTTTTGACTGTGAGGATTGTCACCCCTACCCTCCTCTGAAAGTTGTTCAAGGGTCAGGTGTACATCTTTTCCTCCCCTTCGTTAACCAGAGCCCCCTTAAGAGTTAATACTCTCACATTAACATCAAGTTTTCAGGGTAATACAAAGGAGAGCAATCATGACTTAATATTACCAAATACTGCCAAAGAAGGGTTAAAAAACTGGAAAAGAGAAACTCACCACTCTGAATCTTTTTTATCTAAGTGTTAACAAAAAGAGGTTTGGAAGGAATTTGAAACTCTTCAAATACTGAAGAAAATGGGAATACTGAAATACAGGAAAAGACTAGGACAAGCCAAAGGAACAGAGAGGAACAGATGAGAGGATTAGCCGTATTTGAGAGTAGTTGTTTTTCTCTCCGTAAATAAATTTTACTGGGGCTTCCCAGGTGGCTCAGTAGTAAAGAGTCCACCTGCCAAGCAGGAGATACAGGTTCAATTCCCTGGGTCTGGAAGATTCCTAGAGGAGGAAATGGCAACCCACTTCAGTATTCTTGCCTGGGAAACCCCATGGACAGAGGCGCCTGACAGGCTACAATCCAAGGGGTAGCAAAGAGTTGGACACGACTTAGTGAGTAAACAGCAGCAGCAAGTAAACTTCACTAGCACTAGAAGATGACTTCCTTGAGTCTCAGAGGTTTAAGGACATAGTAACAGAACCAATACACTTCAGAATGTTCCCTTCAACCTTGAATATTGCTTGCAAGTGTTATAGGTGCCTAGAAGTGGCCACCAATCTTAATGGGAAACTTGTATTTTTAATCTCCAATCCCATCCCTCCTCTAGTTAAAATTTACATTTTTTCTTTGACAGGGACAAGCTACTGCCACTTAAAAAGAAAGAACAGTCCAAGAACTCTGTAGATGGTTAATTGCTCAGCAAATGAAGGATACTCAAGAATAGGTACCATGGATTAGTAACTGCCAAGGGCTGGGGCAAGTGGGATTGGTAACTACTAACAGATTTGGGGTTTCTCTGGGGATAATACAAATGCTTTAGAACAGACATTGGTGATGATTGTACAACTCTGTGAATGTACTTAAAACCACAGAAATGTAGTCTTTAAAAGCGTGAATCTGATGGTATACAAATTTTATCTTAATAAAAAATAATTTTTAAAAAAGGATAGATAGGCTAAACACTGTATATAAAGTGACAAAGAAAAGTTAAGGATTGAAAGGTACAGTTCAGACAGTTGAGATCTATTCCAGCTCTGACATTCTATTTAGGGAGACATAAGATTTGAAATAAAACAGTTGATTTGATAATACTACACTCAGAGAAAGCATTCAGAGGTTTATATATTGTAACTTACATGACTACTTACTGCATCCACAAGTTATTTCTGAAATGATACATGAAAAACTGTTAATTTGTTGCCTCCAAAGAAGGGAAAAGGTGGGGCAAAGTTCAAGACTCCAGAGCGGACACTTATCTGTATACCCCTCAGTACTGCTTTTTTTTTAAAAAAATGGTACATATTGGAGATTGTCATAAACTTTAAAATATAAATTGCTAAAGGTCAGAATTTAAACATCTCCTGAAAGTAGGAAGCAAACTGCCAGTTCAGCCTAATATAAAGAAGAATGGGCTAAATCTAATCAGAAGGCCAACCTCCTTCTAATTAACCTGTAACATCTGAAAAATCAAGAATAATGACTGACCAGTGTATAAATTCCCAATGGTAGACATTGTATACTTTGACAGATCACTAAGAACCAGGTGAAAGGCTCCAGAATAAACAAAGAAAGCTGACAGAGACCAGGGCTCCTCACTGTCAACACTAAGTGGATGCTGGTAAAACGATGGGCCTCACATAGTGAGGTCTAAAAGCACACTAGTGGAAATCAAACAGGGAAAAACAGCTGCAACACAGTTAAGTGGCCCAGACAGCTTCCAGAGCAGGCCAAATGCAAATGGGTCCACACTGAGTAGATTATAATGCCACTTGACACAGTAGACTATGGAGGGTCAGAATGAGACTTTAGAGTCAGAAGGACCAAAATCCAGACATTGTGGCTCCTCCACCTACTAGATGTGTGAACTTGAACACCATGTTTCAACTTTCTGAGGTTGCACGCACTTTCCTTAGCACATCAACAGGCACGCTGCAGACTTCATTAGGTGTTAAGAGGAAGAATACAGAAAAAAGAAGATAGAAAAGTTCCCATCACAAGAAAAATATTTCTCTGTAACTATGTGGGGTTGTTAAATGTTAGCTAGACTTACTATGGTGATCATTTCACAGTATTTACAAATAACAAATCACGTTGCACATCTGAGACTAATAAGTCAAAGATATCTCAAACAAATAGTGATGTATAATATATAACAGGGCAAAGGGATAGAATGCTGAGGGCTAGGGACAATTCTGACGGCCAGACAAGAGTTCTCTAGGAAGAATATGAGTTGAAACCTAAAGGAGGGAGCTCTGAATTGGACTCCAAGCAGAATGGTAAATGCAAAAGCCCTGAGCTTAGAACAACCTTGGGGTAACAGAAGAGCATAACCAGGGAAGGTGGAGTAGAGAGAGCAGAGTAGGTGAGACTGATTCGGAGAGAGCTTTCTGGCTTTATAGGCCGTGGGAAGAATTTTCATTTAAATTAAACACAACGAAGAAATTTAAGCAAAGGGGTGACAAGCAGTCAAAGCTAGAAATAACCCACCGCTTCATCCGCAGTGTGTGCTAAGTCGCTTCACTCGTGTCCGACTCTTTGCAATCCTATGGACTATCTGAAAACGTGAAAGGGTCACTGCGGGTCCTTAAAAACGCGCCACTCCCACCCAGCCAGAAAGAAGTCTCCCGTCTTCAGGTGTTTGCAGGAACAAGAAAGCAAACGCTACTGATACACTCAAGGGCAAAGAAAAATCAACCTCAGACATGGGACAAGGATCTAAAACAAAAAACTAAGTATTTTAATCAGACGCCAGGGGACAAGGCTTCTTTGAGCCTGGGGGAGAGAGAAAACGTCTTCGGCAAGAGAAGAGTCAGCCCAGAGAGGTGACTGTCGCTATGACCGGCGACAGTGCCTTAGCGAACCCTCTGCTCCCAACTTTCTGGAAATCTGAGCCAGGGTCATTCTCAGAGCCTCCGCTTTCAATTCTTCAAGCAGCCGCTAGCCGCATCTCCCGCAGGGAGCGCGTCCCAGCGCCCTGCACAACGCGGGGACCCGGAGAACTCAACTTGCGTTCCTAAGTGTGCTGCGCCCGACGAGGCCCTTGCTGACCTCGGAACCTCAGCCGAGAGCTCGCATCCGCTCCTTCCCGCCAATGCCCAGGCCCCCACAGTCCCCGCTCCCAAACCGGCGCCGCTTTCTCCAGAGCCCCAGGCCGCTCCCCGCCTCAACTCACGGGTTGTTATTACTCATTGTAAGTAACAAGCTGCTGAGGAGCCGCACGTTGGAGTGCAGCCCCGCGGCCGCCATGTCTCGCACATGGTCTATCACATTCATTCTGCCCAGGAAGGCTGCAGATAGCGGCGGCGGCAGCGCGAAAAGCCGGCTGAAGCTCCTTGGGGAAAGAGTCCAAAATGGCGGCCTCACCGGGGTCCATCGGGTCTACACGCGGCCCCGCCCCCAGGGTAATAGGCAACTTCTGAAATGCCTGAGGAACAACAACAACGGTAACAAAAGCCTCCGTTCCTTCCCTGCCAAGTTCCCTGTGAGGTGGTACAGTTTGGGGTTTGTTTGTTTGTTTTTAGCAAAAGTTACATCATTTTAAAAAGTTGCAACCTTTCCTGAGGGCTTACAGGGGGCTGGGGACAAAAGGCACTTCAGGATCAACTGAAATCAGACTTTAAAATTAATTAAAATGTATTAACATTTATCATAAATAAAAATTAATATTCTAGTAAGGTGCGGAGGGAAACCCCCAACAGTTGGAATTAAATATCTTAATCAGGCGCCAGGGGCAGTCCTAACTGCTTTGACGGTCTCGCCCGAGCTCTAAATGCCACGCCCCCTCCTCTCAGGTGTTGCGTGCGTCGTACCTGCGGGAGTCAGGCTTCGCTGTTTGGGGACAAAAGGGCGTTTTCCTGCCCTGTGAAATTAGTCATTAGCTCAGAGTGAATAAACAGCTGGTTGAGTTTTAGCCATCCTAATATGAGTGCAGTGTTATCTATTGTGATTTTAATTTGCCATTCTCTAGTGATTTGTGAAACTGAGCTTGTTCTCGTATGCTTTGCCACCTGTGCATCTTCTTTGGTGAAGTATCTGTACAGATTTTTCTGTCTGGTTTTAGTCGTGGTTTTTTTTTTTTTTTTTTTTTTGGCTGCCCCGAGAAGCTTGTGGGATTTTAGTTTCCTGACCAGAGATTGAGACTGGGCCTTCAGCAATGAGCATAGGGAGTCCTAATCATTGGACCTCCAGGGAATTCCCAGGGTGTTCCTGGTCTTATTGTTCCGTTTTAAGGGTTCTTTGTGTATTTTGGGTAGCATCTCTCTATCAGATTTTATCAGAAAATATTTTCTAGTCTGTGGCTTTTCTCCGTCTCTTGACCACTCCTCTTTTAGTCTCAGTAATAGCCCTGAAATAAGATGACCAACAATAATGGTCAGAAGAGAATAGTGAAAATAGTTGGGAGTAGAGGGTGAAGTAGAAAAACTGCTTTATTGCTTTGCCAGGCAAAGGGGGACACAGTGGGTTCCTGTCTGGAAAAACTGTGTCCCACTCTGGGAGGATTTGATGAGGAATTTTTTTTTTTGGATGAGAAATTTTATAGCAACTATTCAGAGGTGGGATTGCTGATAAGAACAGTGTGTGTACTCCTTTAATCTGGTCTCACCTAATCTTAATGAGCGGCTCTGGTTCCTGGCCTCAGGTGGTCTTTCGTATGAAGAACACTGACATCTCCCATTTGTTGGGTCTTAATTCTGGTCTCAGGACTCCGATGTATAGAACAGACTTGTGGACTCTGGGATAAGGCGAGGGTGGGATGTTTCAAGAGAATAGCATCGAAACACGTATATTATCTAGGGTGAAACAGTTCACCAGCCCAGGTTGGGTGCATGAGACAAGTGCTCGGGCCTGGTGCACTGGGAAGACCCAGAGGGATCGGGTGGAGAGGGAGGTGGGAGGGGGGACCGGGATGGGGAATACATGTAAATCCATGGCTAATTCATCTCAATGTATGACAAAAACCACTGCAATGATGTAAAGTAATTAGCCTCCAACTAATAAAAATAAATTAAAAAAAAAATTAAAAAAAAAAATTCTGGTCTCAGGATTTAATGAAGCTCAGGTTCTTGATGTCTCATGGTAGAAAGAATTCAGTGAGAGACAAAGTGATAGGCAAAAAGTGGATTTATTCACAGAAAAACATTCCACAAAGTGTGGGGGCCATCTCAGAAGGTGAGAGCAACTGGCTACACACCAATATAAAATAAAAACAAACAAAAAAAAGAACTGCAAAGAAATCTGAAGCTTTCTTAAAAAAAAAAAAAAAAGAAATCTGAAGCTTTCTTAATAAGGTAATCATTATCTTCAGAATCATACTATGTATTACATATGCATGTGGTATAATAATATTACTACCACTATAAATTAGTATAAAGCAAATTACAAGTATATTAATGATAACAGAAACCAAGATTTTCATTGAAAGATAAAAAGAAATAAGATTTTTAAAAAGTCAAGAGCAGCATTTTATTAAACTTTACCTAAATAATATCAATCAAATTTTTAATGAAAAGTAAAACTATTATACAGGACAAAAAGGTACTGTATTGATACTTTTTAATTAATGTATTTTTAAATACATGTGGATTAGCAAAGAAATGAATAAGATACAGTTTCTGGCTCTGATCCTTAAATTCTGGAAACTTATCAATGACTGCTTATCAACTTATAATGACTAATCAATGATCATCTTTACATATTCATGTTTCATACACAAGGTAAACAGATTTGTCAATCATTGGAGCACAGCCATGAAAAGACATGGAGAAAACTTAAATGCATATTACTAAGTGAAAGAAGCCAACCAGAAAAGGTTACATTATGTATGATTCCAACTGTCTGACATTCTGGAAAATATAAAACTGGGGACAGTAAAAACATCAGCAGTTGCCAGGGATACAGGGAAGGGAAGAATAGGTGGAACACAGGGTATTTTTAGGGCAGTGAAACTATTCTATGTGACATTATGATGAAAGATACATGTCATTCATTTATCAAAACTCATAAGATGTATATTACCTAGAGAAACCTAAGGTAAACTATGGACTTCAGGTGATAATGGTAAAGTCATCTTTGTAACAAAAGTATCTAGTGTGAAATGCTGATAGTGGGGGAGGCTGTGCATGTGTGGGGGCAATGAGTATATGGGAGCTCCCTGTTAGGGGGACTGCTTGAAAAAATTAAACTTTACCTAAAAAGAGGAAAGGGGATGGTGATGTAAAAACTGACCTTCTCTGAGTATCAAACATGCTAGATACACCACTGTATCTAACACACTTAGAACAAAGGATGGCACACAGTAAGCATATATAAATGCTTGCTATTATATATTTTTCTACTGATACACTTGAAATATTTCATAATTAAAACCATATCTAAAAAAAACACCATATCTAATAATAGCAAAAAGTGGAAACAATTGAAATGTTCAACTGGTCACTATATAACCAAATATGGTATATTCATACAATGTAATCCTATTACATTGTAATAAATTAAAAATGAACAAGTTGCTGCTAACATGGATGAATCTCAAATATTATGCTAAATGAAAAGTCATGCTAGATAAAAGAAACCAGACCAGAAGAGATATCCAGAAAAGACAAACTGAAAGCAACAGAAGGATTTGTGGTTACTTGGTGGTGAGGGTGGGAACAAAAACAAAAGCCCATGGTCTTATGGAGCTGACATTCTAATGAAGAACAATAAACAATAACTAAGTAGTACAAATATTATGTGAGATGGTAATAAAATATACTCAATGTCTAGGATTTATTTTTAAATATTCCTGGGAGTGGAGGGAGATAGATGAAACAAAATTAGCAAAATGCTGGTATCAACTGAAATTAAGTGGCAGGTACATGGGAGTTCATTATGCTATTCTTTCAACTTGTATATATATTTAAAATTTCCAGGACTTCCCTAGGGGTCCAGTGGTTAAGACTTCACCTTCCAAGGCCAGCAGCGTGGTTTTGATCCCAGGTTGGGGAGTTAAGATCCCACACGCCTCAGGGGCAAAATACCAAAACATAAAACAGAAGCAATATTGTAACAAATTCAATAAAGACTTTAAAAATGGTCCACATAAAAAAAAATCTTTAAAAAACATTTTTTTAAATTGGGTAGAGAGGGAGGTGGGAGGGAGGATCGGGATGCAGAATACATGTAAATCCATGGCTGATTCGTGTCAATGTATGACAAAAACCACTACAATATTGTAAACTAATTAGCCTCCAACTAATAAACATAAATGAAAAAAAAATGCACTACTATGTATAAAACAGATAAACTACAAGGACTCACTGTATAGCACAGGGAACTATATTCAACATCTTGCAATAACGTATAATGGAAAAGAATCTGAAAAAGAATATATATATGTGTGTATGTGTGTGTGTATATATATATATGTATAATATATAACTTAATCACTTTACTGTATACCTGAAGCCAACATAACATTGTAACTTACCTATACTACAATAAAAATGGTTTTAAAAAAAAAAAGAAAATGCGTAATCTTCCATCAGGGTAATGCAAGACCAAATATCTCCTTGAAGACCAGGCAAAAACTGTTAACAATGTGGCTGGGAAGTTCTAATTCATTCATCATTGCACCTTCAGATTTCCATTTATTTCAGTTTTTGCAAGATTCTCTTAATGAAAAGAATTTCAGTTCCCTGTGTGTGTGCTCAGTCGTTCAGTCGTGTCCAACTCTTTGTGACTTCAGAGACTGTAGCCCACCAGGCTCCTCTGTTCATGGAAATTTCCAGGCAAGAATACTGGAGCGGGTTCCCAATTCCTCCTCCAGGGGATTTTCCCAACCCAGGGATCCAACCCGTGTCTCTGAAAGACTGTGAAATGTACCTGGAACAGTTCTTTGCTCAAAAAGATTCAAAATTTGGGGAAGATGGAGTTATGAAGTTGCCCAAGTAATGGCAGAATGTAGTGGAATAAAATGGTGAATATTTTGTTGAATAAAGTTCTTAATGAAAATGAAAAAAAAATAAAATAAAATTTCTGGACTTCCTTGGTGGGCCAGTGGTTAAAAATCTGCCTGCCAATGCAGGGGACAGGGGTTCAATCCCTGGTCCGGGAAGATTCCACATGTTTCGGGGCAGCTAAGCCCGTGCGCCACAACTACTGAGCCCAAGCGCTACTGAAGCCTACATGCATTAGAGCCCATGCTCAGCAACAAGAGAAGTCACCGCAAGGAGAAGCTCACGTGCTGCAACTAGAGAGAAGCCACTTGCCACAACTAGAGAAAAGCCCTCATA